ATAACAAAAAACAAGGTTTATAGAGATGAATAATTATGGAACAATATAGCAAAAAATTCATATTACAAAAGCAAAGAGACAAAGAGTGAAAATGGTCAACATATTAATTACCTTGAATATTGTTTTCATTTGACAACTCTGTGTCTTTGTCCCGTAGTTGAATGTCTAATGGCGGAAGAGGAGGGGGGACAACAAATGGATCATCTTCCATATCTTCATAATCCTTCTCAAAATCTCCTAATTCATACTTACCAGGAAAAGCAACACCAAAACCAACAGAAACCTCTTCCATGGTTTTGTCAGGACTAAATGGACTCACTCCTGTTCTGCATTTCTTAATTCCATCTTCACCTATTCTTGCACTGCTGTATCTCATAGTTTCAATGGTAGAGCAACCAACTAGCCCAAGGACACTTCCATGGCCACCTTCTTCACAAGCTGGATGACAACTTTCTTGGGTACTGGGACAATTTTTAATGTCACATACTGGTTGCCCATTCATGATAATTTTCGCAAATGAATTCCGCAGGAATGGCATATCCCTTAAGCTGAAATTCATTTCCAAGTTGTTGACAAATGCACTGATAAAACCCAACACAAAGACACCACAGTCAAAAACATTCTGTCCTTGAGAAGGCAACTTTTCTCTTTCCTCCTGACTTAACCTTCGAAATGAAGAAATATCAATATTTGCAGTTTTGAATTCCCTGCACAAGACCTGAAAAACATAATCACTCCTTCGATCTTTACAAAGGGAGTCAAATTCCCCATACAACTTCATTGGCCTGTCTATTAAGACACACCACCAGTGACCAGGGCAATGAACAGGAAATACAAACTTTTCATACTTGTGAAAATCACACCTAAGCATTTCCTTAACACCCAGCTCTTGGCTGCAGTGATTTAGCCAAAAGGTGCTTGCCACATACACATCCTTTTTCTGACTCATTAAGAATGGACCAATGTAGTTGATCACAACATCATTTATTTGGTTACCTGGCTTGAGGGTACGAACATCTTTTGCTTTGACTTGTCCATGGAGTGTGGCAATGATGGTATCATCACTTACAGTACTGCTTAAATCCCACACCTCATCCAGTGTGCAATGAAAATTTGTGTGCAGCTTAACTTCTGGCAAGTCATTCACTCTCACAGGATTGCCATAAGTTCCAGGCCCTTGAAGGTTTACAGCAGCAAAATCTGGGTTCTGATATGCTTCTCTCTGAATGTAACCTAGGCCATCTTTAAGGGACAGTGGAAGAGCAGATGTCCTGCGACTATCAAGAAGTACAATTGCATCTGCTTTAAAGAGCAGAGTAACAAAGTGATATTCCTTTGTCCTCAAAATGAGTGATGGTCTCTCATCTGCCTGGAACAATCCCAGAAGAAGGGAATAAAATTCCTGGAGACTGCTGGTGTCAAGGGAATTAATTGCAGCACCATCCACAAGTGCCCTCAAGGGTAAATCTAGTCTTTGAAATGTACAGTTCTTCCTAATTGCTGCCTCCTCCATTGCTAAAATACTGTAGTCACCATCAAGACCCCGCATAGGCTCTAAAGGTACAGAAAATCCACAGCCAACTTCACAAACCTGTTTTAACCAAATGATGTCTGCTGCCAAATCTAGGTCAAACAAATTGAACATAGTAGGTCCTTTCCTGGAACAACCTATTGCATTGTTCATTGCACAAAGTCCACAGAATGAGCTGTACCCTTGAACTTGCATACACTCCTGACTGCCATTGTTGCTACTTAGGCGCACTTGGCTCTGTACATCTTTATTTGCATGCTTGTCAATAATCTTTAAAAAGTACCTCAAGTTACTTCTTTCTGTGGCATTATCTTGAGAAGGATTTATGGCTGCAAGAAAGCCCTTCAAGGGCATTACAAACTTGGCCAGTTCACTGCAATAAGGATCAATGTTCTCTAGATGTTGCTGACACTTGTCCTTCAACTCAGCTGGCTTCCATAGCATTCCTTGATTGCTTCCTGGCATGAACAGCAATGATGTGGATGGCTCACCAAGGGTGACTTCATGGGTTTTCAGACTTCCTTGGGGTGTACTGCATCTGTTGGATCCAACATCAACATTTACATCATTTGTATGGTCAAGCAGATCATCCTTATTGAACACTGGCTCATCAACACCGACTTGGGTGCTAGGTCTTTTGATACTGTCTTTATCATGGCATGAAGTACTAGCCTCAGTTGTATGGCTACTTAACAGAGGGGTTTCCTTTGGAGCTGTCTGAGATGTTTTCATTATACTATCATCAGATGGTACAATGCAACCATCTATTGTTACACAGAAGAGCCCACAGTTAACAGCCATCTGAAGCACAAGATTCTGGCAGCAGGGATGAAAGCATGGAGTTTCTTTTTGCTCTCCAACGCACGACAAGCAGTCAGAGTGCTCCTCGTAACTGGTGAGATGACTTAGAATTGACTTTCCCAGGTTTTGCTTTCTGTCTCTCTCCCAAAAGATTGTACCATAGAGAAAGTACTGAAAACCCGAAGCCTGTAAAGTTTGAAGGCCAGTTACAAACTTCTGGTGAAACACAGCTTCTTCTTCCTCTCTGTCAGAAAACGACGATACCATGGCAAGGAGTCCATAATCCAGAACCTGACAATAACTCTTCAATAAATCATCAATACTTCTATGGTGAGCCACTTTCCTCAACCTTAGACTTCGATTATACATCTCCTTACGCACAGTTAGGCCAAACTCTGAAATGAAATTGTGCATATTCAGCAAAGATAACTTGGGGGGTGTTTCACAAAGGGGAAGTTCACACTGCTTTTCCTTGAACAAAACCATCTGGCCACCAAAAATGGATTTAACTACCAGTTGCTCTCCACATTCTATCTCCACCTTGAACATTCCTCCAGGACGCACCTCTTTGATGACCCCCAGAACATTCAAGGGCTGAAAGGGATCTGGCTTTGAAAAATGCAATCCTTCTGAACGTGGATTTTGGAAGAGAACTTTGTCTCCCACCTTAAATTCCCGCTCTTTAGCCCTCTTAAGAGCCCGTTTGTGATTCTTTTGAATGGTGTGTTCTGTTGCTTCAAGCACATCCACCAACTTAGATTTGTATTCTTCACTCAAGTTGAAGAGGTATTTGGTGATGCTCTCTACCTGGAATTCTGCCTCTGAATCCACTGATTGAAGTGGGATGTTGTTGTGACTGTGAGAAGGTGGAGAATGTGAATTTCCTTGCACTATCTTCTTAACAGCTGCTGACAGCTGCTTAGCTGAAACACCCAATGAGGACAATAATATGGTCTCAGAAGAAATTTGCAGGATGGCCTCTGTTATCTCTTCTAATTTAGATTTATCCATGGAAGTGCTTTCCCCATGTCTCTCAAGTTCAATGAAATCTTCTGATGAAAATTCATAATCCTCAAGGCAACCATCTTCAATACTTTCTGTCCACATACTATCATCTGGGATGATGTAGTCCACCAAGCAGGAAGGCTCACGGTTCTTATATATTCGAAAAGGCACATCATTAATTGTGCTGTCAATTCAAAAGGTCTGCAATAGCAGAGAGTAGTAAAGGCCAGACATTGGCCTGAAGATCTCTAGGCAACTGTTGTAAAAACCTTGCAAGTAACCTTTTGACTTGCTTGTTGAGATTTTCTATCTGGCCTTGAGACTGTGGGTGGTGTGGCCTACCATGAACCATGCAAACTTCAAATTCTTTGCAAAGTTTTTGCACTACCTCTCCAATGAATTCACCACCATTATCTGACTGAATTACAGTAGGTGACCCTTCCTTGATGAACAAGGCCTTCAGAACGGCATACACTTCTTCTGCAGACTTTGTTTTTAACGGGAACAGCCAACAAAACTTCGAGAAACAGCACTTGACTGTTAGAATGTAACGGTAGCTCCAACAATTATTCTGCATAAAACTACGGTGCTTCTTTGGGGCCATGTCAATAAGGTCACACTGTAGTCTGGAATGGGGGCGAAAAGATCTAATGGGGACAGGAGGGGGAAGCACTCGCATTGGCAAGGGGTTGTTGACCTGACATGTTGAGCATCGAGCCAAGAAGGCCCTAATAAGGTTGAAAATACCCTTAAATACATATTTTTGATTGAATAGCCTACTCAAGGCATTCACCCCTCCAGGGAGGCAAGTATCCTCTCCAAGGACACCTTTAATGTAGTGTAAACTGCTTAATACACCATCTACAGCCTCTCTGTAGAGAAGTTGCTTTGTAGTCTTAAGCTCTCCTTGAACATAACTGTTGACCAAAACAACAAGGATGCCATTTTTGTCACGGACAATCTTACCTTCTTGGTCAAGTTTTAGTGTGTAGACTGGTCTTTTCAGGCTACGTCGTTCAAAAAATCGTCTTTTATACTGATTAAAGAAAGCATTTAAGTTTTCATTCTTCTCTGAAGAAATACCATCTTTTGGGAAAGATGTATATCCTGGAGTACAATACAAAACTGTATCTGCCAGTTTTTCATAAAAATATTTCTGGCATCCATTGAAGCTACAATCTGCTAAATAAAATATAGTATTTGTGAATAAGTAATAGTTATAGAAGATTGCTACCTTTAACATACATTTATTGATTAACCCTTTACACCCTAACATCATTATGCATATTCTCCATACTGTTCTCTATACATTTCCTGAAGCCCTGACAAAGAGAGTTTTTATAAAAATCAAGAGATTTATAAATTGTTGGTCATTTCCTTTATTCTCATGAACTCAATGTTTGATTCAGGGGAGATATTGTAAGGAGAAATTAGAAGCTGGTCACTTTTAGGGGTTAAAGGGTTAAGATTTTTTCTTCCATAACGGGTAAAACAGATCCTATTTAATGGTTCAGAGATGACCTTTCTACAAGTAACTGGAATTGAGGCAATGGAAGATATTACTGCATGCTCAGTATATTGTTGCACAAAAGTATTTAAAAGTTTCCTGTTTCTGAATTTCAGTAGTGGATAACTGTTGTATTCCAGCACTGTTATTTTCCAGCCCCTCTCAGCTGTTCTCAGTTTCTCAGCAGGAGTTAACTATTGTATTCCAGCACTGTTAATTTCCAGCCCCACACAGCTGTTCTCAGTTTATCAGCAGGATTTACTGTTGTATTCCAGCACTGTTAATTTCCAGCTCCACACAGCTGTTCTGAGATTACTAGCAAGGAATAAATATTCTTTTCCAGTCCTTACTTGTATTTTCAGTTGCATACTATTCTTCCCACATTTCTTAATAAATGAACCTATATTTAGTGGACACTTCTATATCACAGACACTGGAGAAGGTTCTCAGAGAAGTTACCTTTGATACTTTTATAACTATAAAAGTAATAGCTTTCACTGCAATTTAAAGTGATTTAATTTTTGAAATACAGTTAACTTCTCCACTAACCCCACAACACCTGTGCAAAGCATGTCAATTACAAATAACAAATATGGAGAGTTGCAAATTACTTTCAATACTTTATAGTGCAAGCAATGTATTCCCTACCGTCATTTTTCAGTGTTTTCTTTCCATTTACAGACTCAAGTGGCTGTAATGAAAAAAACAAATTCAAACAATTTTACCTCACTTCTTAAAGCAAGAAGTCACAAGACTAAACAACAAGTGTAGAAACTTAGACATACTTAGGCTAAAACTCTGATTCAAAAATAAAAAAATGACCCCCCTGCAAAAAAAAATTGTACCACTGTCTTTGATACCATCCTGTCACTCTCCTATTTTTTTTTTCACTTTTCTTTACTTCTAATTTGTAAACACATATAATGCTTCTTCTCAATGGGAAGTGTCTTCAAGAAAACTCAAATAACGAAACAGTATTGGCAAGAAAGATAGCCAAATGAACAGTAGTATCGAATTAGAGCTTAGAGCAATTAAACAACATGAATGGCTGCTACACCCCATTCTTTTTTCCCAGGTCTACATGAACTAGATTTTGAGCACAGAATGCAATACCTCACCAAACATCTGCTATGATGACTCACTTAAAAGTGTGCATGATTATCACCTCTTGCTGAGATAGCACACTTCACTTCAATGTTTTTATTACTACACATATGGGGGCTTTGGTAAGATTGTGGAAAGGAGGGACAACGTTTGAGCAGCTGGGAGGGACCAAAATGACAGTGTGACAGCCATTTATTCCCACTTGGATGGCAAAGTCTGGGGAACCTTCCCCTGGAAATTTAAAAGTTCAGATGTCCAAAAGGGTCCATTTTAGGCCACTATTTCCCAAGTTGGCTAAAAATTATAGCTGCTACGAGGGTGAGTATTGACACTGAATTAATGAATAGAGTACCTTTTATGTAACTAACTATATAAACATTATACATAGCAATGTTGTCTCTGTGATGATGTCTGTGTGGTCTTGTTTGATTTTTACTTTTGCCTTGCTCAAAAAATGAGATTGTGCTGAGGACGACATTAGATTTTGGGGTACAGTGCTGTGATTTCTAACACAGTATCTTTAATGCAATTACTGATGGCAAAGGAGTTAATCAGTACTTCAATGATAAATGTAGAGCATGGCAATTAATGAAACGATCAATGTCTAATCATGAACTAGCTCTTTGTCAGTGACAAGTTCACAAAATTAATATTGGTGAAGGTTACTTCATACAACAATTACTGTAAACCACCATACCAAAAAACATGGTGACTGGTACATTCAACCAGAACTCTTTGTGCAAGAAAATACTGGAACCAATCATAAAAACAAGCAGTAAAGGTCTGAAAAATTTAAACCTTGCATACATAATGTTGTTGTTTTGTGAAATATTGCTTTCTACGAGTGCCTTAGCCTAAGAGTAATAGTAAAATGCACAGGTGCCATATTTGTCTGTGAGTGGATTGAATCTATTGGGTGAACACCAGAAAAAATAGTAATATTGATACAAATAGGCTGAGGGTTTAGTATAGGTATGCTGTGGTTTAGTTTTATCCTTAGTTTAATTCTTTTACTTTTAACAGAGGCCAAATTGATAGTGACACATCATCTCATCATAACTTAGGCTAAGAGCTAAATTTTATCTTTCTTTACACAAAATGCATTTTTCATTCATATCATTGACAAAACCAAAGGAAAATGATGTTTATACCAAGGACAAAAATTAAGCACAACATATACCTTTTTATAACTAGTGCATAATTCGCCAAGAAAATGTTTAGAATAGAGCTTACCACCTCATCAGCACTTTTGTTTTCTTTGCTTTGCTGCTGGTTCTCATCCATGCCTGTATGAATGATATTTAGTAAGGGTGAAAGGATTGGTATTTTCTTAGCAAAGATAGTTGCAGAGAGTTTCTCCACTAATATACAGATCGCCAAATGCTCACAATGAATGCCAACAAGACCAAGTTCTTGCTAACACATGTAGGAGCAATAATTGCTAATAGTAGGCAATAGTCTGTATTGAATTAAGTATTCATTTCTGCATGAATTAGTGTTTATTTCATTTTAATGTTTGTGAAACATAGCTGAAAAAGTATGGATAATGTGGTAACATATAACATACATATTGTTATCATATTCCTTATAATTTGGTACAGGGGACTTTACTCTAAATTGATCAAAATAAAGAAAGTGGCATATGTCAGCCACTGATTTAAATAGCAAAGCACTAATTATTAAGTGAAGAGTAATTTTGCTGCAATTCTGTCCCTTCTGGGTGAGCAAAGAGAATGATTTAATATATTGTAACCCAACTGTTACTTGTTGGAGAGCATTGGGAGACAGCACCCTATCCTTTATGAAAGAGACCAGATCTTCATCATACGAGTTAGCAGTTTGTGAGTTAACCTCCCAGGATATGTGATATTTGACATCAACCATACCAGAGGTTGAATTTTTGCGTAGTCCCATACATTTACAATGAATACATGTCTTCCACTGTATCCATAATAGCCATCATTGTAGGCACAATGAGATGGAGAAAATCACACATTTTTGGGCATTGAAACACCGAGATCTGCCCTGTTTTTCAATTATGTAACATCTAGTTTTACATGTCCCACGCAAAATATAAAAATCAGCCCTCGACACTGAAGGATTCAATGAATCCAAGTTAGTAGTTACTCGCACGCTTCGCCATGCTGTCGCATGAAATCTACAGTATTAAGCCCAAAACTTGAACGTGATCTTTGAAGAATGGTTGTAATATTTGAATTTAACAAAATACTAGCATAAAATGCAACCGAAACCTTACCTTCCTTTAGTAGTTCCGACAAAAAAGCACAACTTCGATCACCAGCACACTCCAAACCAATAAGGGAAGCTACGAGGCAATGTCAAATTCTCGTCTTCCTAACCTTTCCAACGTATCGAAGAAAATTTCACTGATACTTCGCGCTTAAAAACGCAACAAGAATATTAATCTTTCAACAATCCGAAGTGTCCCAAAAGGCATCAAGGATAAGCCCATGAAACAAGAATAGCCCATGAAATTCTCAACCTTCGAGCGCGGAAAACTTAACGATAGTCTCACAATTTTGCATTGCATCCCTCCCCTAGTTGGGAAGTGACACGCAGAAGACACGTTCACAACGCACTTTGATTGGAAGAAATAAAACCGCATTCTATTGGTTATTAGGTGTGAGGACATAACTACAACGGAAGACACAACTGCAACGCTTGCCAAAGGGTAGCAAAGAAAATACCAAAAATTCAAAGAGTTGCTTCATAAGTTTCAAAAGTTGCTGCCGTAATGCCTTAATACTTTCACAGTAGCCTCTAATGGCGCGAAAACATAAAAGGATATTTGTCTGCGGACATAATCTGTTCCAAGATGCAAAACTGTGAGCTTCGAGGACCAGATTATGTCCAAGGACAAATATACGGGTATATTTTCGCGCAAAATATAGGCTATTGTGTTTATCATCCTTCAAATATATTTAGCAACACGCGTGAAAAAATTTATACGAACAGCTCAGGTGTTTGCTGCTTGGAGTGCTTTCTTTTTATTGTTATCTCTTACGACTGACTAATTATAAAAAAATATATATTTCCCTTCTTCTGTAACAACTACAAAAGGCTCTCTCGCTTCTTTAATGGAATTTTTATTGTGGACGTAAGGTTTGAAAATTGGGTGCTATGGCTTGGGTGATATTCACGGATATCACCCAGGTTTAGTGGGGAATATTCAGTCATGTGATGCGTGATGCAAAAAGTTTATGATGGATCATAGCTAACAGCGGTCGAGAGAGATAGCTTGAAACAAAGCTTGAAAGAATTGCTCGCAAATATTGGCAAATTTTAAGGATATTCTTGAGACAACGTTTTGCTCAAAAATTGCTCAGGAAGGCAAAAATTGCCCAAGGTTGTCATTGTCACAAAAAGTTAATCCAAACGCCAACAGTTGCTCAGCAGAAGTTGCCGGACAAAATCAGGAAAGACTTGTTCAAAAATCTGCTGTTTCAGCTGTGGTAGCCGAAATTCCTCAGAGTACTTATAAGTGGAGAACACTTAAGAACAGACATTATCACTCTCTTAACATGCCCTTTATTTTATCGTCGTAGATAATAAGTCGGCGTCGCCTCGCGAGCAATACAAAGGATATTTGAAGTTGAATCACACGAAGTGATAATTGTCTTGTTTTTGTCAAGAAGTAAAAACAAAGATGGCGAACGCTTGGACACAATTCCAACCATGGCAAAATGAACCTTTGCCTCCAGGCTGGGAGGCTAGATATGATGGCAACATCGGAAGATAGTTAGTTTTTTTTAATCTATGCTCAATATGACTCGTAGTGTAAAGTTTCGGCAAAAAACTTGCGTTTTGATCTTGACGAGTCGTAAGCATCTGAGTTCGCTGTCGCTGCGTGGCTTTTTGAATAGACGGCCAAGCAGAATATTTCTCTCTTGCGAGAAACATATTACTTTAGAGCTTTCTAGAGTATCCATCACCTATGCTGATAACAAGAGAAACAGTTTTATTGTATCTGTAGCTAACAGATGCAGGTTCGTCGTGATTTTGAAATGTTCTGCTTGCACGGTTTACTCTTGGCTTATTTCGATGCAAAAGTGAGCCTACTATCGGCGAGATGTCTGAAAAACCCCATACTTCATTACGCATACAGTTATCAAAAAAAGAAAAGTTTACATTCTGGACTAATGTTTTGTTTTAGAATAGTGCAGGGTTATATGGAAATCTTTCCCGTACTATTTCCTTCTTTGATCTTAGTATCAGTGGATATTCTTAAAATATGCAGGCTAGCGTTTGTTTAAACTTGTCTTTATCGTAACTTGCGATCATTTTCAGAATTCTATGTCGATAGATTTTTCATCTTCAAAATATGACTAATTGACGAGGAATGTACTCAAAGAATGTCAAATTTACTATGCAGCGGAGTTTTGAAAAGTCTAAGTTCAATAACTGAAGCAAACTATCTTTGGTTTTGATTTTCATAAGTCAGACAAGTATTTTACTCGTGGGATAGACTATCAGGGTTATCTCCTTATAAAATTGCCTGTTAAATACATTTTTAAGCAGAGGGTACTTAGGAAAAAATAAAATTCTACTGTGGGATTTTGTGTGATCTACTGCTAAATTCTCATAGCCAAAATTATGAGAAATGTTTGCTAGAGAGTTGGGATTATTGATATTTAGATCTTGGGAGTGAAAGGGAAAATTACTTGTTAGAAAAGAAAAAATATCATTATTGGCCTTCAATGAAGATGCTTATTATCAAAACTAAATAATGGATCATAAAATAATGTTTGTAGAGAGTTTATTGTTCTTACTGAAGTAACTGAGATACTATTAGCACAAGACTGATAAAAAACCAATTATTTATTACACAAATAAACCTGTAGTTATTTACTTAAAACAATAAACCACACTTTCCATTGGTTTACAGGTGTAATAACTTTTCGTGACAAGGTGTTGGGAGAACACAAGAATAGTTTATAAATCATTTGCTTCCAGCTTGAATTATTTAAAGGGTCAACTGATGGAAAGTGCAGCCTATTGGTTGAAAAACAAATAAGGGGGGTTAGAATGGGTAGAAAAAAGATTGATTGTTTTTATTGACTTAATGAACACTATAATCAATTTTTAAGATTTATTGATTTACTTTTACATAAGTCCTCAATGGTTATTAGATATTTATTTTATTGGTCATGTTTTTACAGCTATACTTTATTGATCACACAACTCACAAGACAACATGGGAGGACTCCAGGTTAAAGAGGCCAGAGGCAATTCCTTTGACTCAGTTTAAGGTAAAATTAACCATAATTTGAAACAGTGTTTGATTAATGGTTATAGATTTAAACCTAAACAGAAAATGATCATAGTAAATTGGAACTAGGAATAAATAACCAGCAGCTAATGAGAGCTCACTGTACTGAATGATGTTGATTGAATGGAGTGAAGTGCAATTTGGTCTGGAATAATTTGTGAGATTTCAAAATTATTTGCAAAATTTCAAAATCATGCGGCAAATTTTCATATCTAACAAGCCAACAATGTTTAGTGAGTGAACTTGAAATTTTAAGTCAGGTTTCAGACCTAAATTGTACAACACAAAATTCCAATACCACCTGGTTACATCCACTTGGGAATCAAACAATCAAGTTAACACCAAAATACAGCCTTGTGTAGAGGACTCTGGTCAGTAGCAATATTTTACAGATCTAGTGGCTGGTTTGTGAAAAACTTGGCATGGTCAAAAGTTGTCATTTATGGTAAAAAAAATTGTTCGTCAATTTATGAATGAGTCAAACTCATTAGAGTCAATCTGACTTTAAAGATTGCCATTGATTTCAAAATGGATGTAATATTTGCACCAAACTTAAATTTAAGTTTATTCCCACACTATTGGTGGGAATATGCTGACTAGAAAACAAGAATAAATTAATTGAATGAAAAGCACTCATTGATACTGTGGGGATTAATAGTGCCAATTTGAAAGATAAATTTTTGTTGTAGAGTTTTTTGGCTTTCCCAACTGCCTAGATGTAGGGAAAGGCCACAAACTGTTATATGCTGCTTAGAATGATCAGAGGGCATAGCTCCATTTTCTGAATATAAACCCACACCCACACATACCACGGTGATAACTGATAGGACACAGATAGGATGCACTTAGCAACATGACATTTTCTGCAATCAGCTGAATCTGGCTGAGATTGATTGTTGGAAATAACAGGAAACATTGCAGATTAATAACCACAAGTGGTAATAATAAGTGATGGTATACTTTCTCAAATCCAATGGGTTATATGATCTACCTGTGACCAGAGGAAACTGGAGGGCTTTGCTTCCTCATTTACCTTGAAATAATTCAATATTGCATTGTGCTGTAATAATATGGAATTGAAAGTATACACACAACTGAGAATCAGTTTGACCCAACACCAAAAAATCTGATGATTTTATTTTTGGCACAAATCTGTAAAGCACCTTTGCTTTGGTTGTTTGTTTGTCTGTTATTTAAAAACTGAATACTTAGTCAGAGGTCATCGGATTGATTACCAAAGATTTAAGGCTGTCATTGGTCACACCAAAAAGGATGATTGTTAAAACTGTCTCAGTCTCAACTCAGTCATTACAAAAGGATGTGACAAACACAATGTATTCTTCCAGGTGTTAGAATCAAGAATCACTGAGCCAATAATTTCAAAAGAAATTCAATGACTTGTAAGAAATCTAAGCTCTCTGGAAATTTCCCCACTTTTGTTGTTTGGGGTGCTGTACAATAAGCTTTGAAAAGATTCCAATCTTTTACCTTTGTCCCAAGAGCTCCTGTTTCATCCCACACATGTTTCTATCATGCATGGATGAATTTGTCCCTAAGGTGTTAACTAGGGAACAGAGAAATATTACAGTTGATCAGAAAGGAGGACCGAATCTGGCATAAAGCAAAGTTGAAAGACTTTGTGAATGGTCAAATTTAAGAGGCGTTATCACTTGTGTAACCTTAGTGCTATTCTAAAGGACAATCCTCGTAAATTTTGATCATATTATGAAAAGTAGTAAAATTCCAGGGGTTATTAAGGATCAATTGATGCAGGCAACCAGACCTATTGATCAAGCTAATTTATTCAATGCTTGTTTTCTTTCAGTTTTTGCTCCACCTGATCATGGTAGCACTTTGAATTACCTTAACCAACTTAACTAAAGTGTTCAACACAAATTGTGTGAGTTAAAACTAAGCCTTAACCATATTCTTAAACAACTTAAGTTACTTGATATCAACAAAGCTTCACTGGGCCTTCCCACTAAGTTCACTGTGCCTTCCCCTAAGTTGTTACAAGAGTGTGCTGAAGAAATTTCACCTTCTTTATGTAGATTATTTGATATGTCTTTGGAGCTGGGGGCTTTTCCTGAAAAATGGAAAGACGCTAATCTCGACCCTATTTATAAAAGACTGATTCTAAGTCTCTAGCGTCTAAGTATTGAGACATTTCACTTATTGGTGTGCTGTCTAAATTACTGGAAAGGCAAGTTTATATTGAGGTCTTGGGTACCATATTCCCCTATATTACACAATAGCAGCATGGCTTTTTGCTAGGCAGATCAGCTATGTCTCAATTAACCCAAGTAGTTCATCAGTTTTCTAGAGCTTTTGAAATGAAACAAGTGCCCCATGACAAACTTTAGTTTATGCTCAAGTGCCTTGGTATCAAGGGTTCCCTGTTTGCTTGGTGTAGATCTTATTTATCTGGCAGAAGACACAGGGTTGTGATCAATAATAAGGCACCTGATTTTCTTCCAGTTACTTCTGGAGTCCCCCAGGGATCTATTGCAGGACCCTTGCTCCTCTTGATCTACATATTAAATGACATGCCTGGTGTAATTTGAGAGGATACGTCACCACCACTCTTCACTGATGATTCTAAGTGTTTTCACGTAGTTCTTGGCCAAGATGATGGCGACAAATTATAGGAAGACTCAAATGAGTTATTTGAGTTGTTACACCTTTGGGGAATGGAGTTTAATGTCAAAAAGTGTAAGGTTCTAAGGGTGACATGCTGTAAATGTATAAGTGAGAGAGAGTATTTTCTTGGTGAAACTAAGTTGGAACATGTTCCTATTGAAAAAGATCTACAAGGTATCTTGATCAGCCACGATTTAAGCTGGAATCCCCATGTTGATATTAACTCTACCAGAGCCCAAAGGATACTTAATTTGCTTTATAAGTCATGTAAAGAGACAACTGACATTATAACTAAAAAGTTACCTTACATTACTAATGGTTGCTATGACCCTACACCAAAAGAAACATTACCAACTGAGAACAAATTAAACGCAGGGCCACAAGATTCATTCTTGGCAAGGAGTTTACTCAATACTTTGTAAATTAAATTTATTACCTTTACAATATCGTAGGGTAATTCATGATTTATTGTTCTTTTTTAAATGTTTTAAGAATATACGTGATTTAGATATTTTTGACAATGTATAGTTTCGTTAATGAAACAAGCCTTTGAGAAATATTGATTATTAACACTTGAAATCCCTTTTAGTCATACAGAAACTTTTAAGAATTCTGTTTTTACTTGGTTCTTTCATGCATGGAAGGAATTATGTCTCAGCATTAGGGAATCTAACACCTTTTACCAGTTTTTGGGAAGAAATTGTTATTATTATGTTTATGATAAGTTCAGTGCCAATTTTTTATCTTATTTATCTTATTTCTATCAAGAGTCTAAAGTTTTTTTTTCTTTGAAATTAGTTTGACTTTTTCAATGTTATTAATTTGGAATTTGTGTTTAACTTAGAAGATTAGCAGTATAGAAGTCGAAACAATTGATAGCTTGACTTTAACATCGTGAGACAAACCAATAAATATTTATTTATCTAAGAGTATTTCATTTTGATTCTTTCCAGATTCAAGCACAAATATGTATTTATACAAGTTGCTTCGTGGAAGTGAAATTTGTGTAGAGCTGCTCAAACTACTAGAAAATGTAGGTGATAAAATATATTGTAATCATTGAAAAGTCTCCTTAAATACCCAGTTTGAATTTAGCCATTGATTCTCTCTCCTTTGTCTTTTTATCAGACCGTAAATTTTACTTTACATGTACACATCTATCCAAATTGTCTAATATAAATAACATATAAAAGGCAGAGTAGTGGGATGGTACAAAAATGAGTAGGCTGACCTGAATTTAATCTTTAAACCCCTTAGAATTACTGGCATCTAATTTCTCTTTACTATATCATCCCTAAATCAAAAATTAAGGTCAGGAGAACAAAGGAGCTGATCACCCACCAAAGAAGCTCTTGATTGTTAGACAAATTCTCCATGTTGACATCTTAAGAAATGTTTAGAGAACAGTATGGAGAATATGCATACTGATGTTAGGGTGTAGAGAGTTAAAATCGAAACTTTCAATATTGCAATGCTTGCAGTTTGGGGTGGTTACATATTTTGCAACCATAACTACCACATGCCCAACTATGAAATGTTGGTTTTGAACATCAAAAGGAATTCCTAAAATTAAATGTAAGAATGGAACACATATGTGCCAAAAAGTAATATTTTTTTTCTTCAAGAAGCCCTTTGTGGTCTACCAGAAAATTGTGAATTGTGGAGCTTATGTGTATGAGCTTGGTTCATCTATTTAAGATCATCTCTTAGCTCAACTTCCATTTTTTTGTTTTTCTCTCAGCGGCATCAAACTATTGGAATGCAATTTGGACAAGAAGGTGAGTATTGACAATTTTATTGAAATTTATTGCATCATTTTAACATGCAGAGGAAACTGAAGTGGAGAAATGAGCCTTGTTGGTGAGTTACAATTGGGACAATTGCAGAAAAGAGGCTTGGAAAATTTTAGCTTCAATTGTGATTCAAACCCATGTCTCCCAGGTAGTACTTGAGTGTTTACTACAAATTGTTCTTAAAAGCCACAGGTTGAGAGTGATGCAAATTTTGGTTGGTTCTGGTTGTTCTGTGGTGGAATCTGATAAAGATTTAATAAAATACTTCATGTTTGAGAAATGATCCTTTCAGGTGAGCTGTACTTTAAGTTCAGTCTTCTTTTCTGCAATATCACTTAAATCTGCCAGTCAACATTTGGTTGATATCACTATTTATTTCCTCACGGTGTTTCATGTTAATTCATATCTGTGACCAATTTGTTTCCTCCAACACATGCTAAAACAGTGACTCGTGTTTTTCATATCAGTTCGCTCTGGTGTCAAACAGTTGTCCTTAATAATCAACTTTCTGTTGTCAATAATTGCAACTTTCACATTTGGTTACATTGCATCAAAGTATGCTTTTCCTTCCGTTGCTGTGGTATGTAACTTTTAAAGGTGTTATGCAACAATACTTACAGCTGTAGGTCTGTAGTAGGGAGAGGCTGAGACTGGAGCAAATTTTAAGGTTAAAAAAAAACAAACTTAACAAAAAGATAAATTAAGGATGGACCCTCACTATAATTGTATGAGATTTAAATGCTTCCCCCCCTCCCATTAGTAAAATGTACTTTTCGTGAATGCTGATTGGCTAGCTTGGAAGTGATAAGCAAATAGTATTCACCTCTGAGTACCCAAAGGAATAAATCAAAATCACACATCAAGAGTTCAATTTCTGATCATTTCTTGGTTTATCAACAGAAACAAGCTTAATTTTTGCATTCTGTGTTGTTGTGGTAGTTACTCATTATAGAAACAATTATTAACATGTGTCTGTAAAAGTGGTGGAGATTTACAGAGCCACTAAGCCACTCATAAAATATCCTCCATGCACAGAGATAGGGGCTTTTGCTTCTGCAAAATCCCTCCAGAACAAGATAAGGCATGCCAGAGTGAGAGAGGGTTGTGAAGTTGAAATTAACTTTGACCCAAAATCATGGCCTTTACCTTCAGATAACCTCTTCAGTTGCAACTTTTGGTTAATTGCAGTCTATAATTAACCTATGGACCCTTGTCAACAAACATGGAGAATTCAAAGGGATTTTTAATTTGCCAGTTCAGCTAAAAGGAGGCAGGGAGCTGAGTAATCCCTGACCTGGTTAGAATCAGATAACTGACCATAATTGTTTCTTTTTGTTTCAGGGAGTGATTATTGGAGTTTTGTTGGCATTTATCGTAGCAATTGCTGAATTGTATTTCATGGCTAGAGTGGAGATTTGATTGAGATGAAAATTAGTTTTCAATATATTTAATAGAGTAATGTTTTCTGTAAATGATGAAAATGGAATAAACATCCAATCTGAAATGTAGTTGCACTCCTGAGCTGAAAGTGATGTTGCAGTGAATACTATTTCCTCCATATTTTGTTGTGACACAAATTTTATATTAAGGATAGCAATAATATTATATTTTGGTGTAAATATGCATGCCAGGTGAGGAGTTAAAGAGAAATTCAGATAGCACACTGGAAGTGGGATATACTAACAAGGACTACACCCCTATAACTCTCCATATTTTGGCTGGGTTACTGAAGAACAGCTGTTTTTGTTTTCTTCAGAACAACAGGAAACAAAAATCTGGTAAGAAAGTTGTTAGCCAAGAAACTCTGATAGAGTCCTCTGGGGAGCTTTTTGCCAGGCAAAAGAAGCAGTCAGGTACAAATAAATGCTAATTACTAGGTGGGAGGTCTATATGGGAAGAAACAGTTACTGAGATCTTGAGTATGGGCGGACAAACTTGGAGCTTTAAATAACTTTTTGACTGTGTTTAAAAGTTAGCCTCGTTACAAGTAGAAGATTAAAGCCAATCAGGTTTATGGTCCAGCCTGCACAGATGCCTCAGAACAACAAAAACCAAAAAGAACAGCTTTGAAACTCTTCACGCAGGCCAAATTGTGTTATCAACTCAGTTTACAACAACAAATTATCTTGTTATGCTCTCCCACCCTGATGCAACGCCTCAGTTTCTTAAGAAATTTACACTCTTCATTAATAATTATAAGCACTCGTTTTGTGCATTCAGTCAACTGGCAATTTTTGAGTGGGGGGGGGGTAGGGGGTGGGGAGTATGCTAAAGGAGAATGGGGCAGAGACTCAAATTAATTTAAACTTGACAAGGCATTTCGTAGTGACGAGGGAAAAAGTGGTAAAGATATGGAAATGACTCAAACAGAGGTTGAAAAACTGTCTTTTCAATAAGTCCTCGTAGAGGACATTATTCTCTTTGTTTCCTGTGCTCTGCAAGGATTCTCGCTCCGTGCGCTCAATATTACGCGCTCCCCTCACGTAGCACAAAAAAAATTATAGTAACACTTGGACGGCTGATCCTAATTTCTATGAATTTTTAATCACTTCTTGAAAGTTTTTCATACACTCCAACCTTTATGCGTAAAAATCAAAACATTACAGTTCTTGATTCTAACCTAAGATAAAGCATAACCTAGAGTCATTCAACAAGTAAACTGGTGACAATTTCCATCGCTTGTTATTATCAATTGATATTCTATGATGTTCGGCAATGTACGAAGCACCAAGAGTGACGTGACAATCAGGACAAATATTCCTTTTGTTAGTGCGCATGACTGAGTCCTTCACTTGAGTTAATGAACTTGAACTAAGTATTGGTAATAAGAAAACTTAACTTGAGGCAGTTGTTTTTCCACTATAGAGTGAACCGAGTGCTCGTCACCCAGTGGATTTTCAGGTGGCGACAACTCCTTCAGATTCGAAATGAATTTCAAATTCTCCAACGGTAGATTTATAAGTCACTTGGATCCCTTTCGTTCAGATTTATACGCGTGAAAATTATCTTTGCTTAACAGGACAAAAGACTAACCACTTCCAGTGCCAAAATGGGAGGATTTAAACGATGTTAAAGTCGGAGATGGTGCCTCAATCTCGTATGGTTCTCTTTCCGGTCCAATTATCAAGAGCTCATATAGGGACGACATTTCAGAAACTGACCGATCAAGGGCGGCGGCTGAGTCTGGAGTCAGTGCTATGCCACGCAGTTTCAGTGTCTGAAGGGTCTTGTGCGTGATACTAAAAACAAGTTTGGTTACTGCTTCAGCACAACAGTCATTCAAGTTAAGGTGAAGGCTGATGAGGTTGTTGATCTGTGGCAGCAAACCAGCGAGCTTCATTACGTCGGCGGACGTCGGTAACGACTCGCTGAAAAGAGGAAATGCTGTGGAATCAAAAAACTTCACCCCACACGTACGGGGAATTGGTAAATATTCAAGAAGTTCACAAGTGCTTTTAGTTACATGACTTAATGAAATGTTTTTTAAATTCTTACAATCCCTAAAAATGGTAACAAGACATTTCACTGTCTGTTCCTCGACAGGTACAGAAATGTTAACAAAACTTAGAAATTTCATACAAAATTCCTTAGTTGACGAACTTGTTGAGTGAGATGGAGTAGAAGTCATACACATGTCATACAATACTCCAACATGGTCATCACAACACAGATTCAAACGAGTGATGTAAAAAAACGCCTGGCCATTACGGTAATGAAGAATGCAAGTGAAACCACACTCCAAAAATCTCGCAGCACATTTGACTGCATAAAACTTTCTTAAAAATTCCCCAATTTCTCCTGAATTCTCAGTCATCCTGAGGGGAACGTGCAAACAATCGAGAAAATCGATCGACTCGTACAATTCGTTCAATTTAACAGAATCTAAACTCATGTATCCACCCCAAACCACACCATTAAGAGTAATTCCATTTAAATTTCTCCGTTCGGGTACAATCTTATTAACTGATCCTCCCTGAACAAAGATAATGCCATCAGTGCAGCTGAAATAATGTCTTAGAAATTCAGTTTTGGATTGAACTTGACCAAATAAATTATTAACTAAAGTAATAAAACACTGGCGCTTCCATGTAATGTCACACAGTATGGTTTTTGACAAATCCAGTTCTGGGTCAGAAATTCTAACCGATTTCAAATGTTCAAAAACTTTCACTGCTCCATTATCAGATAAACCGCAAACAAATCGAAAAACATTTTCTAAGGATCTAAAGTCGTCCAAAGTTCGGGTGCGGTCAATAATTTCACCGAGATTTCCTTCAGGGACACATCTGTAGGTAATAAACCACGCTGCTAAGAACTCTTGTATGCTCTTGTGAATAAACGATACCACCCCTGCTGGTCGAAGATTTTCAGTGTACTCACTGACTTGAAGTAAGCCGATAACACGACTTTGTTCACGAAGGATGGCAGCAGACAGTTGATCATAATCGAATACATGATCGTCCTTCAAAAGACATTCTAAAGCCACCTTCCCGATATCAGTCAAGATCTCTTTGAAGTCTTCAACTTTGGAAAAGTTAGCAGGTGAACATTTCCCTTCATCATGATCCAAAACGTACTGGACGATCGCTTCGTACAATTTTGTTATGGAGTCACTATTCATCGTGAACTTTTCCTTTTTCCACAGAGTGCAAAAAAAAAGGAGAAGCAACGGAACTCTTGCTAAATCCTCCAAACCAAGAAACCAAAGGCGCATTTTTAAAGACATTGCTTCCTTTTCGCTATCAAGTTTTCTCACCATGAAATCCATTCTGTCCTCTTCACTGAACCCAATGATCTTAGTATCCACGTCCTTGAATTGTTTGAGCTCGTCAGCTTTGGAAATTCGAGTTGTTATCAACACACAACAGTTCCTTAGCTGAATTCCTCTGAATATCTCAAAGATTTCAGAGTTGGTTCCACAGTGATACTCGTCGTATCCATCAAAAACCAGGAGAACTTTGTCTTGGTTCTGGGTGATGTAACTCAGCAAGCCGTCCTTCATGGCTGTGTCCTCCTTGGCAAAAATGTGAGAGGCACTTATGATATCTCTGAGGCTTTGGAGTTTAGATACTTTTTTCAGATCAATGATAACTGCAAGTTCGAACTTCTTCAGGATCTCTTTCTGTTTATCTGTCATCTTCTCGTCATCAAGTTCAGCCCAGTCCATAGCCAGTTTCTTCACAAACGTGGTCTTCCCGATTCCCGTCTCCCCTTGCACGAGTATCCTGTTTGATGGCAATCCGTTATTGTTTTCAGCGAACATATCAGTGTAGTGATTCAGCAGAGCCGGTGATGGCCCACCTGGGGTTTGCTCCTCTTTAACCCAGTTTAATCGAGTGTAGATTTCGTTAATATTCACGGGGCATTTTTTGGACCACACAGAAGTGGGCACCTTGGCGGTTCTTTTATAATGCTCTGCAAGTTTACGCCGGCAAACTTTCACATCAAAATGATTTCTGGGTGTGTCTGGTATGTCTGTTTCAAGAAAACAAAGTACCGAAAAAAATATTTAAAATGGTGAATGATTAGGTTACTACCTATGGGCAATTCATGGAAAAAGCCAAGTGTCTAAAGGGCCGAGCTTTGTTGAATCTCTCCCTAATATGGAGCAAGCCACTTGACTGCAAGATCACACTGAAGTATTTTCTTATAAAGATAATCCCAAGGAGATACACCTCTATATAGAGTGTCCATGCAAACAGGTTCCTGTAAACTGGGCGTTGATGGTCAGCTTAATTTGTCGGTTTGTTACAGCGTCAATGTATACCGTTGGCTATCAATCCAGCTGTTTTGAACCTGTTTCCTCTTGTGTTCGATCTATTTAATGACGGATTGCTAAAACTGAATTTTATTGAAATTACAGCTATAGGTGCATTACCTTAAAAATAAAATATTTCGACTGCCTGGTTTTGGGTCACAGATGGGCTTAATTTTAGTGTCTGCATGCGTGTCTGCATGCGTGTCTGCATAGAGGTATCCTTTTAAAGCAGGTTTGGTTTACAGTAAATATGGGGAAATGAAACCAAAACTTTGCTCAGCGTCTGCTTAGTACAAAATTTACTGTCATGGAATACATCATTTCAATTATTTCTAATTATCCAAAGTTGTTGAAAATAATTACCGTGATTGTAACAGATTTGTTCTGCTAAGTCTTTGCGCTGCACGAGTTCATGCTGTAATGCAGCATTCAAAATTTGATAAGTTGCTGCAGAACCATCCTTATGTTTCCAGTCCATTAACATGTGGTATCCTCTCTCACACAGCTGCCTGTGTCTTTGTTCTATATCCTGTAGTTCTGGCTCCTCGACTCCTAGGCGACGCCCAAGCTTCATCCACTTTTCAGCAATTTCTTTGCCTAATTTCTCCAGTTCATCATCTGTTGGTGTGCCTTGTTTCACTACAGAAAATAATAAATTCTATTACTGGGGTCTTGTCCATGAGATAAACAAATCACATTATAAGAAACAAACATTTCCAACTTAGTTCAATTGTGCCAATCAGTGCTCAGGACCACCACAAGCAAAAATAACAAAGAATTTAGAAATCAAATCCTACTGGTCAGATTTCAGTAACTGACCACGGTAATAAGTGACAGCAATACATAATAAGATAACCCAACACATGACTAAAGCCAGGAGCACATTAGAGATGCTCCAGTGTAGCATCATCCTTACTACAGAGTAGACTAATCTATCAATTTTCTCTCCTTTTAAATTATAATTAGTTAAGATATTTTTTGCATCTGGCTTCTAATTTGGTGGAAAACATGGAAAAGTACATGGTTGTTGCACAGTTCAATTCAGAGTAAAATAAGGGCAACATTTTAAAGTTGCCAGTATTAACAAATTCATTGAAAGTGGAACAAAAGATAGTAGACTTAATCAACTAGAACAAACGCAAAAAGGCGGAATAACATCACTCAATGTGAGAAAACAACAGGCAGTACAATTAATAAATCAAAAGGAACATTCAAATCAGAGATAAACAAAAATTTAAGGTAATGATCAGATCAAACAGCTAGCTGTTAAAGGCCATAAAATGAGAATTTTAAAAGTGCATGTAAAGGGTTAATCATAGGTGTATTTCTTCACAGCACAGATGTGAAATGCAACTAAATTAATGAGATGTTATTCTGGAGTATTGTAACAAAATACACTGGTGTCAGCATGGTTATAAGTTTCAGGCATTGTCTCTGCATTCTCATATTTAGGAGTAGCTTACCTACTGACATTGAAACACTCCTTGAGTCAGTTTGGACTGCACATAATGGCAAAGGTCTGGGCAAAAGAAAATTTGAATAACAAGCCTAGAAACAAAAGAAACAGATGCATTGTCAGAAGAACTCTTTTTACTTGTACGTGGTTAACTCAAACCCCCACTAACTTTCATAAGATGCAGTTTTCCTTGGGTTTGACCCCAGTTTTCCAGTCATTTACCGTCAGCTAACTCAAATTCTATGTAAACTCAAACTAATTTGACTTTCCCTTTCCTCAAATTCACCCTAATAACTCAAACTTTTAGTAAAAATGTTGGTTGATTAATGTCAAATTGTCAGGACATAGCTGAACATGATACATATCAATTAACTAAACATGATTTGCAAAAAAGCTCCTCTAAAACAGTCTAAATGTTCAAAAAGGACTATTGATTGTGCAGGAAAGGTAAATTAAAACATGATTTCCTTAAATTAATTATTAACAGGACACAACCTACTTTTAACTTCTACAGTTTTTTTGTTTCCATGGGAGTTTGAGTCAGTGGTATTACACTGTACATCAACATCACAGAATAATTCAAATGTGTGCAAAGATGTTTTAAAGTTGCATGCCATTTATGCATTTCAAATTCCTCTTCCCTTAAGTGCACTATCTCAAGAGCTAGATCTATCAAAGTTATTAATGACTGATGGTCAGTGGACTCAATCAGCTCTATGAGCCAGTCATGTGAGTGATTTAATTCTGATAAGCATGCAATGCAAGGAAGCATGAATTATAGGACAGATAAATAAGTAAATACTACCCAGTAAATAAAAATGGGGAATGTAATTAGAGGAGAACTTTGAAAAGGAAAAGAAATAACCACATGGAAACTCTCAAAAGAAAAGTAGAAATTAAAAACAATAATCAAACTCAGAAGAAGATCAAACCAAGACCAAACTGAAGGCAAATGTAGAAAATAACTAACAAGTTTAAGGAAAGAAAGGATTAGTTATTCAAAGAGCATATAAATTTGAGAAAAACAAAGAGTAAACAAACTATTCTGTGGTTTTTCCACTGAACTTCATAGAAGAAGTGATTTTGATTTGTCTCAGACTCAGATTAAAAACAGCCAGAGTGTAAGGTGGGATGCTGTTAAAATTACTCATTCTGTAAAACTACTGAGAAGACATTTATTAAAAAACCCTACTCATGCTACATAGCATCAAGTGGTTTTTAACCCAAGATTGCTTCTTACCAAAATTCAGTTGATTTGTACCCAGTTTGAGTTGGTTTGTGACCAAACTACCAGTTGATTTGTACCCATCTCAATAAACATTCATTTGAAATACCTCACATGCAAGTGTGTGAACAGATATCGCTTATTGTGTATAGCAAGTTAGTGAAGTCAAGCAAGTAACATAAAGACAAAATTATGTTGTGAATAATATTATTGACTAGCACAAGATAAGTGTGATATCTTTAATAAAACAGTGTGTTGTTTATACTTGTGACTATTTTGAAAATAACAACTAATGTAAGTTTGAATTTTTCCTCTCTTTGGTGGTTGCATGTCAAAAATGAATGCCACATATATAAAACCTATTTAACGCAGGTAACATTGCTATTTAACCCTTTCACTCCTACAAGTGACCAAGACAGAATTTTTCCTTACAATATCAATACAATATCAAGCAGGCAAGTGATGAGAATAGAGAAGAATGTCAACCATGGGATTATTAGTTGATCCAATACCAAATTCTCTCAACTAACATCATAAGAATTGTATGGAAGATAGTAAGGAGAATTACTAATTAGATCTTGGGAGTGAAAGGGTTAAAAGAGAAACCCACCTTACTTCAAACATATGTAACAATGGACAACAACTCAACTGACTCAGTATGAATCAACCTTGGAGGGTACAAAATGATTGGGTATGAAATGACTGCGCACAGGAACAAAACAACAGGTAACCTGCTAGATTATTTGATGTCAAAATACAACATAAAAGAGTAAAATTCTCACCCCATTTGCAGGTAAAGAAACTGCAGACCCTCTAGGCATTGGGCGTGTTGATTGCGCTGGAGTACTTGATGCTCGCGATGATCGAAAAGCTGACATTGCAGGTACATTCAAAGGTCTGAATATTGCAGTTGAAGTGTTGACAGTTAACTCCCCTGTTGTCTGACTCTCCCTCCTGTTGTCCATAGGTAGCTGTGGTGATATGTTAACACCAGATGTCAAGTAAGTGTCCCTGAAGTCAACTCTTGGGATAAAGCCCATGGGAAGTGACTGAGAATAATCATTAACTCTTGACAAAGTTGAAGAGGGGCTACTGGTTGAAAAACAAGCTGATGCAATTGAGTTGTCCTGCACCAAGGGAACACCATGACTTGCCTGTCTGTCATCCATAGGTAGTTGTGGTGGTATGTTCATACCAGCTATAACATGTGAACCTGTGAAATCAGGCCTGGTGAAAACATTTGTATAGGATAGCCGAGGGTTATCAACAACTCTTGATAAAGAAGCCAAAGAACTGGATGACACCAAAGAGGTTGATGGAGTGAAAACATCTTGTGAAAGAGGAACAGTAGGACTGAACACAGTAGTCATATTGTCAACAGCAGACTCCCCTTGTGTCCAACTCTCTCTCCTATTGTCCACAGGGAGCTGCAGAGGTCTGTTCATACCAGAAGTCATGTGACAGTCTGCAAAGTCAGTCCTGGTGACAAAGTGCACTGCAGGTAACAGTGAGTTTTCAGTAATTCTTGAAGCTGATGATGAAGAACAATAAGAAGATGATGAAACAATAACGTCTTGTGATAAGGGAGGATCATCAGGTCTAACTATGACTTGTACAACATCAGATGACTCCTCCATTGTCTGACCACACCTATTACTCTCCATCAGTAAAGCAAGTGTTCTTCTTTCCCATCAGGCATATAAAGTGAAAGCTACTGGATCCCTGGAAAGCAAATAAGAAAATACGAGGATACAGTTTTGATTACAATTAATTCAAGCTTAATTTTTTATTTATTTAGGAAATATAGGTTACCTGTCATAGGCCTTGTGGCCAAGTATTACTGGAACCTAACCTGGTTTCATCACAGGAACTTAGAACCCCCCCCTCCCAAGCCCTCCCCCAGGATAATCTATAATTTGTCAAGAGCTCCCCCTTGCTGATAGTTTTCTAGATTTTAAAACATCGTAGTTCTAGATTTTATACTCCTGGGCAGAGAATGACACTGAGAGGTAAGTGTCTCCTCATCCTCAACATACTGACTAGAATCCAGCGGTCAAATTGCCAGGTGGCACAAATCCACATGTATAATTATAATAATTATAATAGTAATAATAATAATAATAATAATAATAATAATGATGATGATGAAGATGATGATGATAAAAATAATAAACTAATAGTGGGATTTGGTAGTGGACATTTCTTGAGATGGATCTTCTTGTCCACTGCTTCCAGTTCAAATTAGAATTCAAAATGCCGGTTTTTCTGGATGGATCAAGGAAAACCAGTATAATTATAACTTCATGTTGTTTGTTGGAAAATGTATTGTTTATTCCAAAACTTTTTCTCAAAAAAATACACCATGTCAGTCTTTTTCTCAGTTTTGGAAACCAAAATAAATTTAATTAATAAATGCAAGAAGTGTCCTTAATATGCATAACTGTGAAGTAATACAGGCGTATGTACTGTGCCAGTGAGTTATTTATGACTCATAAATATAAGTCAAAAGAACACAAGAACAGCTTTGCAAGTGGTATTTTTCTTCAAGTCCAAACCTTGAAAGTATAGCACAACTTTAACCTGTTTAAGAGCATGTTTACAAAATTAACCATAGTCTTGGAAGGATAATAAATGGTTGCCAAATTAGTCATATAATTTTAAAATTCTCTAATTTTTCCCTGGATTTTTCTTTAAAATAGTAAAATTTCCATGGCCAAGTGAATTAGAATTTTATTTATAAGTTCTGAACTTCCAACATCCCCTCCCAGCCATACTCTACACCCTTAAATTTATGCTTTCAGCATGTCACATGCAATGTATATATGAACTGATAGTTCCTCAGGGTAACATAGAAAAGGATTGATTTTCTAGGAAACACAACATCAGCTTATTATGCAAATTTATTCACCAATATTATACACTTACTAATCTGACTAGTACCTTTCACGTCCATGAAAGGTACCAGCTTCAGGGTAGCAGGAAGTGTCAGTGAAGCTTCTGTGACATATCAGTGGAGTATATTGACATTTTTTGTTCAATATCAGACAACTGTCGACTGATCATTGAATGACTGTCAACTAACTATCAAAGGACTGTCAAGGGACTATCAAGGGACTACTAACTGATATGACCACTGCCATATCGACCATTATATTGACCTGACACTACCTACAATACACATGATCCAGAGAACTAATTTGTATAAATTTGTTTTAAAAAGACAAATTTTAAGTTTCTTTACCAGCCTAATAATATATGGATGCAAAAATTTCAGCATGCTCATCTGCTGAATACATCAAGATATCTCAAACAGTGCAGAAAGTTGAAACTGAGTGCAGAAAGTTAAAGTAGTGTGACAACAAATCCTAATTAAATTGACCAAGAAAAAAGTTGCTATAGCACATTAAAACCAAGTGGCAGATAGGTTAGGAGAAAGTAACAACATTAAAATTCAGAGGTTGGAGGAGAATTCTTGGAACAAAAACATCTCACAAAACAACTGGCTAAAAGTTTTGTAGTATTGGCATTTCAAAGATGGCACCAAAGTTAAATAGAAAAGAAAGAACCATGGACCCTGAACAAAATTCTCAGGGAGTTTTATGCAACAGATTGTCAGAAAGACAGGGAGGATTACAAGCTTGAGCCACTGTGCAATGCTTACAGCTATTGACTGTACATAACAGAGAAAGAGTACAAATGTTCAATTACATTACTTGTGATAGAGTTTAAAAGCTGGAAGCCAAGTTCTTGAAGGAAAGTGCAACTACTTGACAAGACAAAGACAGGTGGCAGAACCAGTGAGCCATGACCTGACATAGAAATGACTAAAGAGGAGAAAATGTTTGCATGTAAATCATCAACTAGTAATCCCACGATTTCTCTTGAGCAATTTTGGATAAATTCGCAATGGTAACTTTTTCAAAGACTGAGAAATATTATTAAGTCTTTGTTTGGTCATTGTGTTTGAGTGTGAACAGAAAGTAAATATATGTGCAAAGTAATGTGATAGAATATTACAGAATATTTTGGAATGTGCTAGTCGTCATGTTTATGATGATTTGAAAGACTATTCAAGACTATAAATACTAATCATATCTTTACAGACTTTAAATCTGGAGTTTGCATCAAATTGTTGATGTGATTTCTTGAATAATAAAAAATAAAGCTGTGTGTTGTAGAATACAAGTACAGTGATCACCTTCGTGCGCGAATTGACAGAAACGAGCACTGTGCTAATCATTTGGCTTCTGAATTAAGGCTGATGTTGTTCTGCACTGATTTAGGAACCGATTTTAATTTCTGTTATAAACAAAGCTACTTCATAAAATTTTGAATCGAACAAGGCAACTCAAGCCGTTTTGGCACAAGTGAAGGCAGGGAAATGTATTTGACGAAATCGAAACATAGCTAGCGTTTGCCCCTTTGCGGAAGTGATTTGTTTGCTCACAGGCGGCCCAAGCTCCCGTCTCGAGAAAAAGCCAACGATGAATTCATGAACGCGTCACGCGTTGTGTGACTCGGTGTTAAGTTACGGGAGGAACCGTTGAAAATTTGAACACGTTATAAGGAATAGTATGGGGAACGAAATATGGTCGATTTACAACAATAAATATTTCGAAATATGAATATTTTACACGTAAAATCAATAAAAACTTACTCATGCCCCGTGTATCCGTCGTAGTTTCTGGCGATTTCTGCTGTTTTAAGCTTGCTTTACCATCACTGTTATCCATGTCAAAAGACGTCTTTTGACATGGATAACAGTGATAGTAAAGCAAGCTTAAAACAGCAGAAATCGCTAGAAACTACGACGGATACACAGGGCATGAGTAAGTTTTTATTGATTTTACGTGTAAAATATTCATATTTCGAAATATTTATCGTTGTAAATCGACCATATTTCGTTCCCCATACTATTCCTTATAACGTGTTCAAATTTTCAACGGTTCCTCCCGTAACTTAACACCGAGTCACACAACGCGTGACGCGTTCATGAATTCATCGTTGGCTTTTTCTCGAGACGGGAGCTTGGGCCGCCTGTGGTTTGCTTAGTGATGAGCCTCTCAATGGGTACCCACGGCCTTCGTTTTCTTCGCGATTTTTTGCATATCTTCGGTTTTTTTTAGGAAGATCTTCGTTTCTCAGATTGAAATGGTTTAAACGTTTATTCAGTGTTAATCACAGTTAATAAATATTTCACTTCAATAGCAAATTGCAAAACTCACTGTTTAAATTCACGAAAAGCAATATAAACAGTTATTGAAACAATAGAGGATTGTTGGATTCTTTGGCGACGTTCTGTTTGTTCAGTGTTCTATGCCATTTACGACATTTGAAGACTGGGTTTTCTTTATGCGATCCCACAGGCTCGTAGCTTTAACATACACAACTAACCTGTTGACTTGAAACGAAGGTTATTCTACCCTTCCACCTTTTTAGTCATGTCAGTAGTAAACCATGTCCTCATTTCTCCTTTTCTAATGCCTATTGTTATCAAAATCGCAGTGAAATGTGGTCAAATGCCAAAATTCAGAAATAACAGATATTTTCTGTAGTGTTTACGAGTTTTGACAGTTTTATATCTGAGAGTTCAATTTGATTACGCAAATTTTGGTCAATTTTCAGATCTTCGCTTCAATCTTGAGATCTTCGATTTTTCCGCGGTGATCTTCGCGTCTTCGATTTCTTCGGAAATACCCATAGAGAGGCTCAGTGATCTCGCGCATTACCGTGGATAAAATTTAACATTAACTTTCTGAAAGAGAAAATCTTTATAACTAAGCCTTGTGTATGTGTCTACATACCTTGAAACTTTGCAAAACCAGTCGTGCACAGCTCTACAAACCCAAGGTTCCTCAAGAACAACATTAACCAGACAAGAATTTAGCTATGATGCAACAACAACCAACACCCGTTGAGCATGCTGTCTAGTCCCAGCTTCTACGTGATCAAGTTTGTCCGTCTCTGCCCAGTCTAGTTAAATTATTCACAACCCGAGTTCATTTCTATTCTGTGTTTCTATCCATGGCATGTCAGTGATGCTGCTGAATTTTTCTTTCTTTTTTTCATTTTAAAATAAAACAAGTGGCACAATTTCGATGGAAGCAGTTCAGTTTGGGGTGGGGTAGGAGGGGTTTAAGAAGGGATGAGAGGGGGGAGGAGGGAGGGGAGCTGAGGACTTGGCGTTTCCAATTCCGCCAGAATTTTTAAACGATTTAGGAACCATGTGAGAAATAATCTAAATCGCTGTGCAGTGAATGATTCAATACAAACAAGACAAACCAGATCAATAAAGGCCCAACAAAGATGGAGAGGAAGTATACTACCATTTCTTTTAAATTCAATTCAATGTATCTGCACCCCCACTCCCTTAATCCTCGTCACGCTTACTCCGCGCTCCTCACTCCACCCCTCCTTGGGTGTTCTGATCTATTTAACAAGTTACCACTACGCCTTTCCCGATTGTGCTCGTAAAATGCTGGAAAGTTGCTCACTGAAATGCCAAAGAGTAACAAAAAAATATCAAAAATTAAAAAAAGTTGCCTCATAAATTTCAAAAGTTGTTACCGTAATGCTTTGATGTTTTCGTAGAAAACATTAACTAAAAGCTTTATTTTGCGTTCGTCACAACAAATAA